AATATCTTCTGTAACGGTATTTCTTAAGTTATAAGTTTACCACTCTCGGCAATAACGAGAATGATAACATTGTTAAGAGGACAATGGTGATAACAACAAACGAAGTCAAAATTACTTTAATTCTGATAGTTTCCTCGTTATCATAACCGTACCATTGATTTCCTTTTACCATATACGCTCCAACGCCTTTTTCATCAACCGTTTCCTTGCCGCCTTCTTTCAGATATTTGCATATCTTAAGCTTATAGTAATGGTTATTAAAAAAAGAAAAGAATTTGAGAGAGTCATCAATAGAAAGGAAATATCTGAAAGTAATTTACACCTCCCAGTAAGCCGCAGTACCGCCAGCGGGATTTGTTGTCGATGCTGACGATGGATTATTTGCCGCTGCTCCGATCGCTGTTTCTGAAGGATTGTTAAGTGTCCATCCCCTGCCGTAGGTCGGAATCCCAATGATAATTTTCTTTTTCGGCATACCCTTACTAGCCCAATAATCTGCTGCAAATTCCTGAAACAGTCGTGAATTCATTAGAATATCGAAACATCTAATGAATTTCAAGAACTAACAGTATTAAAGATGCCAATTCCGGATGTTTCTCCTTTCGTTGGATGCAACTTTCCGTGCAAGTCAACGTTCTTCTCCCAACTACCGTGCAAATCATACGACATCAGGAATAGGAGATCGAAATTTCTGCAAAAACATATTTGGAGAAAATATAATTTGATAATTTTAATTATATTGCCAAATAAATGGAAAATCATCTAAGATCAAAGATTAGAAGAAAAAGCTTTTACTTTCCCAGGGACTGAACATCGTAGCTTCCATCAATAGTTCCTTTTCCTGCTGCTACGGCGGCGGTAAGAAGCAACCGTTTCTTGCCGGATGTTTTGGCTTCCTTCACAAATGCTTTTTTCATTTCCTGCAATGTTTAATTTTCGTCTTTCTTATTCTCTCATATAAGGTCAGTATATGTCAGTTTTGCTATGGAAATTAACTCACAACAGCAGATCTCCAAGAAGTAGACCAAAATTCGATAGCGTTTAGTTACTACAATAATGTCACTATCATTGATAAGTGTCACTGAGTTTAAGCAAATACAATAGTGAACTTTAACCTTACAAGGCGATGCAATAGCACTCACCTCAACAAGTTCGGCATGTTCCCGAGCCACACCTGTTGGATATTCCCAGTCAAGATCGAATCCATCAAACTTGTTCTTGCGGAGAAATGCTATTGCTGATTCAATGAAATGTTTCCTTTTCTCCGCTGACTTTGCGATTGCCTTAAAATATCATGAATCACCAGGTTTATGCTAGTTTTTCATTCTGATCGAAGAGAGATGACAATGTCAGGAAACTATTTCTGAGATCTATCATTAATATATTTAACGAATGAATCCAACCTTCGAAATGGAAACTAACAGTGAAGGTTGGTGACCCAAAGTTGTAACCACCATAGGAAAGAAGGACTTTTAGTTCTGGGTCACTCTCTTTCAGTTTTGTCACACGTGAGTACATCCCTTCCGACCATTCGGTATCTTCATCGTTCCATTCGAAGGCTCTGAGAGAAAAAGTTATTGAGGGTGATATTCACAGAAGTAAATAGCATATGTTGAATACTTCTATAATCCACGGGAAAGGGATATTTGCGCATAATTGGCGCATCTTGCCGCCTCCTGCGTACGGACACTGCATGTCGCACATCGTTGTGACCGTTGGATGAGTTAATAAAAATTTGAAATGTGAAAATGGTATTCATATTTCATATTAGTAATATCATTTGTAACTTACAGTGACGTGCCTGACTGATCGACTTTAGCGAATGCGTAAAGAATATGAGTGCATAAGCCTTTTGGGATATCTTCAGGTAAGAATTTGCCTTCTCCTTTAAGATATATTAGATCGATAGATGTTGCAATTAACTTTGTGACATTCAAGAAATCTCATGACAAAAGGAATTTGTGGTTACGTTAAAAATCAAATTATTAAGTTTTTAATTTCTTTCGTCTCTTTTACTTCCCGTATGGATTAATTAAAAGCTCGCTTTACTTATTTTTGACATTACAATGACTTTTGAATTTGTATTCAAAATTAGCTTAAAAATTCTTTGAAATAAACATCACTAAACCGTTTCGATATTGGGCCCAGTTAGTATAGTAGCATCCGCGAATGTAACCTGCAATAGGCTATTAATTAGAGATACTTTCGAAATTATTTCACTGCCATTTCTTTCTAATTTATTCCAATTTCTTATTATTAGCGAATATCATTTTTGAATTCTGTAAATTCTTGTCAAACATTTATGTCATCTTTAACATTTGTTTATTTCAGTAAGGTTAAATATATGATGTTTACGCATTGGAAAGAAATGTGATGATTATGATATGATATGGCTAAAGTATTTGTAATCATCACGCTTATCATAATATCAGTTTGATGAATCGATTCGATTATATCTTCAAAGATGACATTTTTTCCTTTTGTGTCCACGTTACTGATGTGTCACTTTATTGAATAACTTACCATTTATAACAGTAATTGCATTGCTGAGTATAATGAAAGATATTAGCATAGTCCAATTCATGTCACTTTGTAAGAGCTTTTTCCAATTCTGTATTTCAACATTTATTGCTATGATTAACTGACATTTACTTTTATTAATGGCATAGTAAATCTGTATGAGTAAGGGATAAGAATGAATGAATTCTCTTTGCATTAACACTTAAGAGGATATAATAGCGCAATAAGGGATTACTGTATTGGAAGAATTAATACGAATAGCTGTGGGTCTATATGAAAGACCAAGGAAAAAACTCATTAAAGAAAGGTAAAGGTAAACTTGGAGCTAAAATCTCTGCAATATCTTCAAATGATCGTTGAT